AAGCCTCACGTTCACGCGATTGGTATGTGCGGAGGACATCCCTCTGTGTAGGGTGAGCACTGCTGACTGCCCACAAAGTGGCTCTGAGTCGCAATGCACCGAGGCAGTCCCCGACGGGGATATAAACTCACAGTACAACACAGTTTGGGTTCCTGTCGCGTCTGGGACTGCGCGTCTCAGGATTCTGAACGGAACCGTGGGCATATTTTTTTTTATATATACAGAGAGAAGCAGTCAGTCAGCAGAGGAATAAAGGAAGGTCTTGAGCCTGGACTTTAACAGGGCAGGGAGTCAACAGCACAGAGGGTTGGGGTGTAAGGGGTTCCAGGCCCTGGGGAGGAAGCAGAGGAGAATGAGTAAATATCGTAATCCATCCCCTTTCCAAATTGAGCAAAATATTTTTGTTGGCGGCTTCGGTTGTCAGTGGCAAGCTCCAACTGGCACCGTGTCGGGACGGCCTGGCCGGATTAACGAAATAGAAAATATTTTTTCATACTTTTATATAAATATTTTATATCAACAACTGCCCATTATAGAGCCGTGTGGCACCACCCGCGGAGGCTTCGTCCAAGCTGGCACGCTCTGCTGGACATGTCACGTGGACGAGGGAGGATGAAATCGCGCAGCCGCCTCGCCCCCATATCCTCCGCGTTGCGTCATCCCGAGATCGAAGGCGCGGCAGCGCCGTCGTTAGCGGCCAGGCGAGCGGAGCGCTGGACCGTCACCTAACGAGACGCTGGATTAAACCGGGTGGCTTTAGTTTGCTCCGCTTGGCTGAGTCGGCCGGCGGCCCCGGTACCTGCCGCCCCGGGGGAGACCTCGGCGGAGAGCACCGGGTACGGGCACCGCGCCCGCCGCGTGTGCGCGGTTGGGGCCCGCGCCTACCGGCCCTGGCTGCTCGTTCATTTACACGAGCAACCCTCGCCGCCGCGCCCGCCGCCGGTGAGCTAGCGGAATGCAGCGCGGCACCGTGAAGGTTGCCGTGAATGCGTTGCGTTCAGAGTTGACCGTTTCAGTCCACGGTTGGCACCTTCCCGAAGCTCGGTGCGGGCGTGCAGGGTGCGTCGCTCACGTTCGCTTCACTTCCGTCGTAATCGGCCACGGTCAATCCACTGCTGGATGAAGGCCCCCTCTCCCCAAGCGCCCGCCAAAAGGTTAACAATCCACCCAGTACCTGCACGCCAGCTGATTTCGTCGCTCCATCTCTTCGCTCGACGGGGCACCCCGGCCGAATTCCTCAGCGGCTTGGTTGCGCTTTGTTAGCGGTGGCGAGGTGGCGGCGTCCGAGCACTGAGCCATCCACAGTTGGTACCCTCGGTTGGATTCCGGGTAACTAACCCCCACAGTTCTCAAGTGTGGAGGAGACTCCTACGGTGTCAGCCCAGTCCACCGATGATGACAACGGAGCGATCCAACACCGCTGTTTAGTTTGGCTCAGCGCGGCTCTGCGGACTAACGTGATTAATCGCACCGGATGGTCGTCATGTGGCAAAACAGTCTTCGTCTTCTTTCTTCCGTACGGCTGTTGATGCAGATGCAGAGCAACAATGACAATTTCACATTTAGGCGGTGAAGCCCAGATAACCACGGCGTCAGGCGCAGGGGAGGAGTATATCATACCTGTGACGTCTCAGTGTCACGTGGGGGTTCATTACGATCGCGAGATACTCAGTGTTCAGTTGAGGGATTCCTTGTCCCGGGGCCAATCTGGCGCGTCGTTGTTCAGGACCATTGGCGTCACCACTGCTGCTGTTTGCCACTGAACAGGGCCATTGGCGTGGCTCCTGCTGCTGTTTGGCCCTGAACAGGGCCATTGGCGTCGCTACTGTTGCTCTTTGGCACTGAACAGGGCCATTGGCGTGACTCCTGCTGCTGTTTGCCACTGAACAGGGCCATTGGCGTGACTCCTGCTGCCGTTTGGCCCTGAATAGGGCCATTGGCGTGGCCCGTGCTGCTGTTTGGCACTGAATAGGGCCATTGCCGTGGCCCGTGCTGCTGTTTGGCACTAAACAGGGCCATTGTCGTGGCCCGTGCTGCTGTTTGGCACTAAACAGGGCCATTGGCGTGACTCCTGCTGCCGTTTGGCCCTGAATAGGGCCATTGTCGTGGCCCGTGCTGCTGTTTGGCACTAAACAGGGCCATCGTCGTGGCCCGTGCTGCTGTTTGGCACTGAACAGGGCCATCGTCGTGGCCCGTGCTGCTGTTTGGCACTGAACAGGGCCATTGGCGTGACTCGTGCTGCTGTTGCTCTGGAGACCGGGGAGATCGACGACGTTTCGTCGCGATTTCGCACTCAGCAGAGCGTGGCCGCGTGCAGGCTGCTGCTGCTGCTGCCGCTGCCATCTCCACTCCGGCAAAACGGTGGAAGCCGCCGTGCCTGGGGGTGGAAGGGCGCCCTCTAGCGCCGGAGTGTTTGAAGCGCCGCCGTAATTCGTTCACCGGCGTTGTCTTCCAGGACCCTTGCATAGCACGACGACGATGACGCGTGCGAGGAAGTTCAGGGAGTTGACGTTTCTGCACACGAGGACATTGATTTTGTTTGGCGCAATGAGGCGTGATTGCCCTGAACACTTCACAAGAACAACATGCTTAAAGTTGTCGAGATGCACACGCAGGGAGCCTTGTTTTGGTCAATCCACTGCTGGATGAGGGCCTCCACAAAGCCATGCGGGTCCTGGGGGCTATTTGACCATACTTCACCACGCTGGTCAGTCCAGGTTGGTCTAGGTAGGCAGCGTCCACTTGAGAGGATAGTACAATACAACAAGCGATTTTGCCGCACTGCAGTCTGACGACGCATCATCCACAGCCGCCTGTAGCACCTGTTTGCATGCAGGTAGCTCATTGAAGCACCCGCCAGGCTCAACACACCTGATGAGATTGGGTGCATTCAGGGTAGTTTCCCACACCTCCGATGAGCACGGTTGGCAATGTACGGTGCGAAAGAAGTTCAACTTACAGTAAGGGAGAAAAGTATTTGATCCCCTGCTGATTTTGTACGTTTGCCCACTGACAAAGAAATGATCAGTCTATAATTTTAATGGTAGGTTTGTTTGAACAGTGAGAGACAGAATAACAACAACAAAAATCCAGAAAAACGCATGTCAAAAATGTTGAAAATTGATTTGCATTTTAATGAGGGAAATAAGTATTTGACCCCCTCTCAATCAGAAAGATTTCTGGTTCCCAGGTGTCTTTTATACAGGTAACGAGCTGAGATTAGGAGCACACGCTTAAAGGGAGTGCTCCCTATCTCAGCTTGTTACCTGTATAAAAGGCACCTGTCCACAGAAGCAATCAATCAATCAGATTACAAACTCTCCACCATGGCCAAGACCAAAGAGCTCTCCAAGGATGTCAGGGACAAGATTGTAGACCTACACAAGGCTGGAATGGGCTACAAGACCATTACCAAGCAGCTTGGTGAGAAGGTGACAACAGTTGGTGTGATTATTCGCAAATGGAAGAAACACAAAAGAACTGTCAATCTCCCTCGGCCTGGGGCTCCATGCAAGATCTTACCTCGTGGAGTTGCAATGATCATGAGAACGGTGAGGAATCAGCCCAGAACTACACGGGAGGATCTTGTCAATGATCTCAAGGCACCTGGGACCATAGTCACCAAGAAAACAATTGGTAACACACTATGCCGTGAAGGACTGAAATGCTGCAGCGCCCGCAAGGTCCCCCTGCTCAAGAAAACACATAAACATGCCCGTCTGAAGTTTGCCAATGAACATCTGAATGATTCAGAGGACAACTGGGTGAAAGTGTTGTGGTCAGATGAGACCAAAATGGAGCTCTTTGGCATAAACTCAACTCGCCGTGTTTGGAGGAAGAATGCTGCCTATGACCCCAAGAACACCATCCCCACCGTCAAACATAGAGGTGGAAACATTATGCTTTGGGGGTGTTTTTCTGCTAAGGGGACAGGACAACTTCACCGCATCAAAGGGACGATGGACGGGGCCATGTACCGTCAAATCTTGGGTGAGAACCTCCTTCCCTCAACCAGGGCATTGAAAATGGGTCGTGGATGGGTATTCCAGCATGACAATGACCCAAAACACACGGCCAAGGCAACAAAGGAGTGGCTCAAGAAGAAGCACATTAAGGTCCTGGAGTGGCTTAGCCAGTCTCCAGACCTTAATCCCATAGAAAATCTGTGGAGGGAGCTGAAGGTTCGAGTTGCCAAACGTCAGCCTCGAAACCTTAATGACTTGGAGAAGATCTGCCAAGAGGAGTGGGACAAAATCCCTCCTGAGATGTGTGCAAACCTGGTGGGCAACTACAAGAAACGTCTGACCTCTGTGATTGCCAACAATGGTTTTACCACCAAGTACTAAGTCATGTTTTGCAGAGGGGTTGCAATGATCATTGATTGCATTAAAATGCAATCAATTTATAACATTTTTGACATGCGTTTTTCTGGATTTTGTTGTTGTTATTCTGTCTCTCACTGTTCAAATAAACCTACCATTAAAATTATAGACTGATCATTTCTTTGTCAGTCGGCAAACGTACAAAATCAGCATGTATGTGCATACGTAACTTGGGCGTAGGCGAGCTCGCTTAGACGCCTGCATTATTAACACGCCGTGTAAAAAATGAGTTGAGTGGAGTAATTGCGGTGTTAAACGTGAGGCGAAGGAGTGAACTATTTTTGTATCGATCTGCTGTCGGGACGGGTGACTTTGTGTGTTTTAAACTTCTGCGCGGGCGTATGTTTCGCAAAAGGACATCAACACCGCACCGCACCGCATTACGGCAGCCTCAATTCGGCGCGTTGCCGTTTGCGAGCGTCTTTAATTATAACGTTATCACAGCGTGCGGCACACAGAGCCGCTGTCGTTTACTCAAGGCCCGCCTCTCCCATATAACCAGCCGTGTGCGTCCCGTTGAAGTCTCACTTGGCTCCAAATGAAGGGATTTGTTTTGACCGACTGATTGAATCGTCCCTCTCTGTGGCTCTATTGTCTCTCCCCCCCCACCACCCGCAGATCAACAAACAACAGCTCCAGCAAGTGAAGGATCGTTTCCAGTCGTTCATCAACGGAGAGACGCAGATCGTGGCTGACGAGGCCTTCTGTAACGCCGTGCAGAGCTACTTCGAGGTACCGAAACGAGCAGAGAAACAAACTCCCCATCTTGCCGCACACTGCACCTAACAGAATCTCCAATAAAAAATGCCCTAAGTTGATTCCCCCTCCCCCCGATACGTACATTTACTGTGTTTTGCAACCGTCACCCGTGCTGGTGTGGTGTTCGCATACACGCGCGTGCGTGCGTGCACGGCACATTTAGCCAATCCGCTGCTGGATAAGGGCCCCTTCTTCAAGCCGTTGTGGGTTCCTCGGCGATAACTTCACCACGCCGGGCAGCGCGGGTTGGTGAAGCGGGCCGGGTGTCAGGCGTCGTTTGGCAGTGATGTTCACCACGGCCCGGAATCGCAACTCCGGTCACCATCGGATTCAGCGGCGCAAGAGCGCCAACCGCTGTGCCACACATCGAATCGACGCCACTGAGCGGTCCGCCGCAAAGGTTTAAAATTTCTTCGAGGTTCTGCAGATATGGCCGGGGATGCTCGATCCATGCCTCATCGGCCAGCCTGCACCTTCACTCTGCGGACAGCGTCGGCGATTGATATTCTTTGTTTTTATTTCACCAAACCTCGCTGCATGTTGTGGATGAACCGACGAGGGTGACTGGCGGATGCCCCAACTGCACTCCTCACTCTGCCAGATTGCTTTGTTTGAGGCCTGTGACACTTACTCAGCTTCTCTGTTGAGCGAGCATTGCTCCTGCACCTGCCATTGTTGCAGTCAAAGCCACACGCACACACGCACGCACACGCAGCAGTGTGCCGTGGTAAACTTGTCAGGCTCAGAACAGCACCAGCTGTCTTGTGTTTCAGCACTTCCTGCCTGCCGAGCGTAGTCCAGCTGTCTTTCTCGCAGACACGTTTACACACAAACAGGCCGTTGGGTCAAGTGCTGTTGGCGAGCACCTGTGAAGGCCAGTACAGCGGCCCAAGCGGTGGATTGTAACAAGCACCACGCCCGGCCACTTCTGTCTCCCTCCGCGCTGACGTTTCCACATCGCACCAGTTTCTCATTCGAGACTTGAGTCGACATCGAGGAGGCCCGGGACCATTTCAGACCTTCGTCGCCGACGTTGGCCACGGACGGGGAACCGGAACTCGGGGCTCGCCGGGTTCGCAGCGCAGTTGAGGCGAACGCGGAGAGACAGACGCGCCGCGCCCGTACACGTTGCAAACATTGTGTCACGAGGTGAGATAACGGCTGACAAATCAAGACCGGAAACCTGGCAGTATATCTTTCACGTCCACAATGCTCGGAGATAAGGCGGTGTCGGCGGCGCAACGCAACCCGTCTTTGTGTACGCAGATAAAATTAGGTTTTCTTTTTGAAGTGGCTTTGAAAAACATAAATGAAATGTTCAGTTGTTCAGCTGGGAGTGATTGGTGAGAGCTGTGTGTGTGTGTGTGTACGCGCAGGCAAAATATTTTTTTCAAAGGCCTCCCTCAAATCTCGTATCTCTCTGAGCCATCCACGTGCCCACAGTCTACGTGTGCGCTGCTACATTTGCCGATAGTGCGAGGCGATTTAAAAACGGGGATGTCGTATTCAGCTAGACACAGGTAGTGTAGCAGACGAACGTCTGCGTATGATGGGCAGCTTGTAAACGACCTGGCTTGGACCGTTGGCTTCTGTACAGCGAGAGGCGGCCGAAGGGGCCGTGACGACAGCATGTCTGGTCACGTGCCGCAGCCAATGTGTTTAGCTTTCCTATACTCTGCACCCGTGTCGTGCCCTTGGTATTGTTTTGTTGTCGTTACTTTGTGACCCGCCCCTCATGTACATCTGGGGAATAAAAGAGCTTCATAGCTCATTGGATTTCTCCAGGATAAATCAAGATTGTGAATACGTAAAAAAAATTTTTGCCAAACATCCTACATACAGGACCATCCTGAATACAAGTCTTGAAACTCATCCATCAAGGTAGGAGTGGTACGAATTAATGTTTTGTGTTGTATAGTTTTACTTCACGCTGGGACGTATCTCTGAACAGAAAGGAGAGTCCTTGCCTATCAACATGCCTGACTCCGCTGATGAGACACTGAATATCGGAGTTTTGTTTGTGTTGAAGCAATGCTGCTGAAATAGTGCACTCCCAGAAGGCCGTGTGTGGCTGATGGGATGTGGTAAAAAATACCAAAAAGTGAAGGGACAGATGTGTGAAGGAGTCGTATTGTCCGATTGCTGCTTATATTCTCCAGAATAACATCAATGATGAGTTTTTGTTGCGAAAATTCAAGGAATGTTGTGATTGTAGAGGTTTAGTTTTTCTTAAAAAACACATTTGCGTTGAATTTTTTTAAGACGTTGGTATTCTCATTGTACATAGAGTGTACGCCATTCAAATACTCCTTGTGATTTAAAATTTCTGTTATAATGGATTCCCAGTTTAACTCTTGCATCTTTATATCCCATGTTGATCATTCCTATTATACATTTATTATTAAAGCAATATTTTCATGAGAGAGTTTGAATGACTGCATCAGTTGCTCATGAATCAATTGCCTTAGCATCTTTTAAAAAAGCTATCCATAATGGAAGTGTGATATTTATTTGACCTTTCCAGTATCTGATATATGGGAAGGACGTGGCCAACGGTAGACAAATCTGTTCTCAACGCAGCGTGTGCTTGTGGCCTGTCCGTTATTTTGTCCTCTTTGCATTCCGTGACCTCGGGTCTGTAATGGGGTGAAGTCTCAAAGTCTCCCGGTCTCCCTTCAATAGAATAATTATTGAAGCATCGTAATTATCATGTTCACAATAAATGAATTTTATTTCTGCAACAGCATTCAAACGGCACATTCGCTAATTCCCTGGGGTGAGATGGATTACTGCATCACCAGGGCCATGAGGGATGGCAATGACGTGGGGAGGCCCTTCAACCAGCAGTGAATAGAACACGAATGATAACGATGGTGATGATGAGTATGATCATTTGGTTTTAACCTGATTTATTTTCTGTTTGCCAGATTTTATATTCTCAGTGGTTTTGCCTCTCATTTGCGGGTTTTGTCCATGCTCGCTGTTGGTTATTTTCAAGTTACTCGCATGGGTACGCTCAATTAGGGAATTTGCCAAATATGTAAATGTGTCCTTCTGCAAGAGATTGAGCCTCTCCTGGCTAAAAATTTCAAATGATGTCCAGCGGTTTCATTTTTCCATGAGTTACAAACAAGAAATCCATTGTTATGTGTTTTCCAGTTTTTTCACGGCTTGTGTGGGCCCTCCTCTTAATTGAAATCGATGAAGGAATTCATTGATCATTAGCAATGCGTTGACTGCTGTTCCGTTGGACACGATGTTACTGGATGGGCCTAATGGCGAGTGAGGCAGCTGCAGTGGAGGAACGTGTTACTGTGATCTTGTAGGAGCCTAGTAATTACATTATTCAAACTTTTTATTTTTTTTTACCAGGTAAAGCCCACTGAGCGATATATATTATCAGAAGCGAGCTGGACACAAATGATGTTTCAACGAAGTGGCTTATCATCTGCCAATTTTATAGCAGCCAAATATTCTAAACGCATGTTGATTCTAAATGTGGAGGGAAAAACCGGCGGACCCGGAGAAAAATCCACACGACCACGGGGGAGGGAGACACGTAGACTCCAAATATACGGACGTTAGGGTTGGGATCGGACCTACGACCTGCTGCATGCCAGGCGACAGGATTTAGCAACTGCGCAACCGTAGCGCCATAATGATACCCATACCGTTGGCGTCCCATTCCCATCGCGGCCACCCACGTGGTCTGCGTGCCGCGTGGACTAGGGAAACAAGGCGACGCTGGCACGTGAAGCTGCACGGGGCTCCAGCGGTCGTGCGACCCCCTGCCACTTCACACCGCTGCCGCCCAATTTAGTTCGACTATCTTTCCTCACCCCCCCCAGGGGTTTCGTTCTGAATTGAGATTGATCCAAGCGCGCACACTCAGCCTCAACGGCTGAGCCTCGGCATTCACCGTCATCATTAACCGACGGCTGCCTTATACATAATTGAGAGATTACACGTTCAGAGTGCCTTTGCCACTCCCGCCGGCATGGTTGCTAAAATACGCTTTGCTCTTTGACCCCACGATATCGGCTGTGCCCCATTGGACCAGAGTTATTGTCAAAAGAAGGGTTTGGCTCGGTTGATTGACCTTAGTTTAGCTGTGCATGAGCTCATGAATAAAATAGCACTTTTTTGCGAGGAAGACTAGTGTTAAGTAAGTAATGACAGCAGACACAAGGGAGCCGTGTACACAAATTATGTTTACAAACTTGTGCAGAACGCTAGAAATGTCGGAAATGAAGGGCATTTCACAGGCATCAACTTTCTACAAGAATCGTCTACATCATTGACATTTCGGAAATACTACAGGAGCTTAGCAAGTGAGTCGTGCAGAGTAAAAAAAAAGTGTAATGCATCGAGAGATAAGTAGCTACTCTGGCTGCAAAGTGCCTAGAATACAAGAGTAATGGAACTTGGTTTAAACTTGTTATTTGGAATAGGGAAAACAAACTGGCGACTCACTCCAACAATGTAACATTACTAAAGTGCAAGGCTGAAACGTTAGGGGCCATGCTTCGCAGCATCACAGCATGGTGGGCAATCAATAGTGTTGGCATCAACAGACCTTTAATAATATATCATTGCGCTGGGAATGGATTTTGATGATGATAATGACAACAATACTGATGATAGTGATGGTAGCATTCCAAAAAGGTTACTTGTATAAGGGCTTTAAAATATGTATGTATAATTATAACTTAATAGTCAATCCTTGTTTAATGTATTATTTTATTAGGCGCGAGCTCCATGAACACGTTGTTATCATCGCCTTGGACAAGATGTCACCCTGGCTCTCGTTGAAGCTTCGCGGGTTCATGCTGAGCGTTCGTGCAAGTGACGGGGAAAGTTTTCCGCACTCATTATTATGTTGGGAACACATCCGTGCCTACCGGGGTTATGGCTGTGCGCAGTGAGCGCTGCCTCGCAGAGATACAACGCGCCGAGCTGATGGAACGCACGCC